CAGTACCCAAGTACCCAAACTCACTGTAAATGAACTGCAACCACTTCTGAGGGCAAGATATTGTATGACATTCATGTGGTTGATGATATCTCTTTCAAGTAGCTTGGCTAAAATTTGCCAAATGGTCTGTTCCCTATAAAAAACACACAGCCACCAAATCATTAGTCAGTGCTGAAATCCTTTACCCAGGGTACTAGATGCCACTAATATGTCACCAGAGGCAGAGGATGTTATAGTCTTAAAATGAACAGTTCATTCTAAGTACTGATAGAAGGAAAATGAATGTTCCCTACCACACTTTCCTTTATTTGTCTGAGTTTCTGTCCTAACCAGACACAGCTGCACTTTAATAATCTTTGAAGAAAAGCTTTTCATAAGAGTGCATGTACCTAATTGCGTGTGTGTGCGTGCATGTGCGTGTGTGTGGGAGAGAGAGGGGGAGAGAAGAGGCTTCAGGCTCTAGTGCTTCCTTCCAGGTGTCTTCGTCTGCATGATTTCATCTGTGAACCATAATCAACTTCCTTAATGAAATATGTAATTAACATATTATAATTGTGGTAAAGATGATTTTGACAGAAATCATTTTCCATATCTAATACTATGCTAATTTAATCTGTTCCTCACTCCCCGACATGACCTTTAGTGATTAAGTTTCATGGCAGAATTTTTTTTTTTTTTTTTGTGATGGATTGATTTATCCACAGCAGTTGATACCCCCTCTGCCTCCATGGCTGTCATTTTTCTCTGTCTCTGCTACAAAAGGGAAACACAGTGATGAGTGGACATACGGGGAAAGGAACTGAGGACCCACTGTGGGGTTTTGTTCTGCATAGGGTCCTGAAAGCTGATTATGAGAAGATTCAAGGTAGGAGGTGATTAGATTGACTACTGACACAACAAACTTTTCCCTCTGGTAAAAATCTCTATAACAGATCTCAGCAGAGAAAAGGTAGAGCTTGGTAGGCAAGAGGGAACAGAGGAAGATACATTAGATGGTGTTTGTATATAACTAGAATGTTATAGCAATTTAAATGTTAACCCTCTTTCCACCTTCAAGTACTTTGAAGTGCAGTCTTCAGGAACCATTTTAAAATGAAAGTCATGTCAGTGGCACTGTAGAGAAGACTTTGGTAGCACATTGTTGCCTCGTGTCAAGGAAGCAATTTCCGAGTCAGCTCCTGAGAGCTGACACTGAGTGGATGCTGGAGGAGTGAGCAAGTTTATCAGGCCCAGGTAGAAATCTGATTCTAGACAGAATATTAGACTCCCAGTTTGCTTCCCTACTGAGATGATTTACTTCAGATGACAACAGGCAGAAAATAAAGAGGACCTCAGTTCGTCACGAGCACCCTCCAATTTTTTTTTCTATAGAAGGGAAATGAGAGCTTTTCAGTGAACTACCTCAATCCTTGTGAAAAATCTGGGATCCATTTGTTCTGAGATATGGCGCCTATTTATTTTTTATGTGAAGGAGGCAGACTGTGGATAATAATACAGAAGGTAGAGCAGGAATACGTATTTTCATGTGTACTGCAGCATTGTTCCTGAGAACACATTTGCTGGTGTTTGGGCTAGTCTGCTTTGCAACTACATTACAGGTAATTTGCCTTATGATATTGTGGTGCAACTGAATGGATCCTATTACCAAGAAGTCTGAACCATCTTATATTATTCTTTCTCTTCTGGATGCTAATATTGCCTTCAGCAATTAGTAGATGATTGTCATGCTAACCTCCCTTGCATCTCCATTTACTATGTTTTAGACAGCCTTTGTTTTTCTTTACTGTTAAATCTGTAGCTGAATTCCCTCCATGATTCAGGATCCCCCTGGTAATGAAGTGCAGAAAGCTGAGCAAGCTGCTTTAAATGTGGTTTGCATTAGTGCACAAAAAGAGGGACTTTTGCCTCCATACATCAGAGGTATAATGCCCCCCATACAAACTGACCAAAATCACACTCGTGCTTTTACACTGCTGTATAACACCTCAGAATTTTGTTCATCACCCATCACCTTTAGGTATTATCACTTCTCACTTGGCAAATTTCTTATTCTGCTTGAATATCTGTTTTACTCGTTAGTTTATCTCCTGTACTCCACCTGGCATTACCTGGACATGATTTTCAAAATTTGTCTCATTTGCATAATCTGGAAGGATTGTGTCTCTTGTTATTTTTTAAACCAATCCTAATTTCTAGCAGTTGTCCAGCTACATTGCAATTTATAGTATGATCTGTGCATGATCAGTATTCTGAAACCTAATTAGATCTATTTGATTATACGAATGAAAAAAAAAATAGTTAATGAAAATGATAATGTTTATCTTAATGCATCATTATTTGAGCAAAAAATTCCTAGTGAAGTCTTGAAAAAGATCCTATAAAATTTATTTTATTATATAAAAATATGTGTGTATTTTTTTAGCAGATCTTGGAATATTTAGCATTCAGAGGAACAAGGAAGGGTGTACAGGGAAGAATGATAAGGGAAATCAAAAACTTTTGTATCTGGAAAGCTAGACTAAGACTTTTCAACCCATAAAAGAGATGTGGCAGTAGAATCTTATATAGCTCGGCAAAATCACGGGTGGCATGTGAAAGGTGCACAGAAAACAACTTGTTTTTTCTGACAATACAGAAACTAGACAGCAGCAAACAAAATGAGAAGGGATGAAATTTAGACAAACAAAAGTATCTATGTGGTGAATATAATCAGAAGCACAAGTCATTCTTGTTGCTAGTTATGTTCAGATAAGTTTCCAATGTGACTAAGAAAAAAAAAAGAAAAATAAATATCTGGAATATTACAAATGAAGACACAGTTTCTGGCTAAGACAAACTGATTTCAGAAAAGTAGGTTTTTAAAACTTAGGAAGGGTCATGTCTTTTTCTTGTTCTTATATGTTTTACCTATGGATGGGAGATTTTCCTGGTTTTCAACATAGTGGTTTTATTCCAGATCTTGTACTCACGGGATAGCAAAACAAGGTTTGAAAATATGGCCCTAATATCATAATGACTTAAAAAAACCCCACCAAAAATGCAAAATAAATGCAGGAATTACCAATCTCCTTTAAAATCTGGGGGTTGCAGAGTGTCATTATTATGTCTACAGAGTTATCAATGCATGTTTTTTAAATGAAGAATAACATGTATGCTAATAACTCTCACTGCTTATGCTACATCTGGATTGTGATACTTCAAATTTTCTTGTGACCTGGGTCTGGGGTTTTCGAGGTGAAGGTTTCATCCTTCTTTACTGCAGTGTCTCATCTCTGCTCACCTCACAGAGCACTTGTACAGCAGTAACTTGACAATGTGACAGATCAAGTGTGAGCAACTTTTGGCTGATCTGAGTAGTGGAGCTTGTATCTCAGCTACCTGTGCAATACTCCCTACTGCAATTAGTGCATGTAAGTCTCATTATTTCATTAGCATAAAAATCACATATACATTTCGGTAAGGGAACACACTATTTCCATTAACCTAGACTAAAAGCATGATATTAAACTAAATACCTTAATGCAAATATTTGCCCTGTGATAGTTTACAGAAAAAAAAAACATAGTACTGAAAAATAACGTGATTTGTCAGTTCAGTATTAATATATCAAAGAAGCTGAGAACTGAAGTTTTGGGCCCAGCCTTCAACCAGTACATGTTAACATTTGTTTTGCTCTGATTTACACAAGTAGATGACCAGTCCCAGGCTAACAGGACAAAACAAAATCCCCCAAATCTAACTTTATCGACTACATGCAAGAGTATGAAATAAAAAGAAAAATGTATTCAAAATTGTTGCAGATGTTATTCAATGCTGTGAACCTAAAAGATTCTTTATTCTCTAACTTCGCAAATTAAATCACCACTTTTTAATTAACTTAGTGCCTTTCCTTGGGGTTTATTTCAACATAAATTTGTAAAGCTGCTGAAGATGAAGGTTTGTATAGTAATTCCTTAACAAGCACAGTGTCAACCAGCTACACTTTTAGTAGGGTTATCTACATTGTACTCTCTTTTATAAATACACTGTGCTTTACTAGGTGAATGCATTTTCTTTAATTCCAAAGTAATGTTTTCAGCAGGGAGGAAAAATTTCCTTTTGCTGGAGTCTACAATACAGTTAACTTAGCTCACAACAGATAAAGACCTGAAGGGCACATGAAAGAGTTATATCATTTCCAGCTCTGCTTTCTCTAAGGGCATTGTTGTGCGTGTTTTGCCCCTTTTACTAGTGCTTCTTCCCACAGTGCATTTTTCAGCATATTTCTCTATTGCCTTAAATATCTTTGGATTGCTAGGCTGGTCCCCAAAAGTTCATGTGGTTGTAGAAGCTGCAGTCAGGATTCTTCACAGACTCTTGAGCTGCAAGGCAATTTGTACATTTGGCATCCCATGGTGTCCATCCAATAACTCAGTCCTAGCCAAGAAAATTAAATCTAAAATCAGTAATGTGGAACTGTGTTGTATATATGAGCAGCGTGTCATGATTTTCTGCCTTGAAAAGGCACTGTGGTGAGTCACTAAAGTTATGTGGTGTCTCTAAGTAGCCTTTATGAAACAAGTAAACAAGTTCTGAGGGAGTCATGGTTTCTACATAATGAATTTGGAAAGGAAATACGATAGTGGGAGTTATGGATCAGATTTAAAAAGTCAGGTATCTAATGTATTGAGTTATCTGGCCCTAGACACCTGTGTTTCTTCTGCATTTGTTGAGAGGAGGAGGATGGGAGTGACAGGATAGTTAAAGATGTCAGCACAGGGAAGTTACCAAGTTCATCTGGGTTTATAATGGCCTTCTTCATGCCTCTTTCACCTTAGGGATTTTTTAATTTATTTTTTTAAACTATATTACACTGCTCTGTTTCTTGTTCTCATCAACTCATGTAACACAAGTTGCTATAGCATAACATAGCATTAAGCAAGGAAATATTGAACAAATATTTCCCCTGACAAAGTAGCATAGTTAAGAGGCAAGTAGAAGATGCTAATCTGGAAGTAAATAGATACCTCCATGATGAAGTAACGCAAAATAGGTATTTTATTATTATTTTAGACTATTCATTAAAATAATCTGCCAATGAGGATGGAGGATCAACTACATTTTTTTCAGACCTCAGAGGGAGGAAAAACACGGTTTGTGTCATTATACAAATTCTTCAGCCTACCCAGAGGCATGAATTCTGTAGTCATTATGTGTGCCTGGCTGTAGGGTAACATTTAAATATCAGTTCCATATGACTAGAGATGTGTCAATAATTCTAAGGATAGAGATGTGTCAAGAAGTAGTTGGCTGAGTCAGCTAA